TGGCAGCCCAGAAGCCAACCCTACCCTGGGCTGCATCAGGAGAAGCATGGCCAGCGTCGAGGGAGGGGGTTCTGGCCCTCTGCTCTGCTCTGGGGAGACCTCCCCTGGAGCCCTGCGTCCAGCTCTGGAGCCCTCAGCACAAGGAGGACATGGACCTGTTGGAGCGGGGCCAGAGGAGGGCTACTAAAATGATCCGAGGGGTGGAGCCCCTCTGCTCTGAGGCCAGGCTGGGAGAGTTGGGGGTGTTCAGCCTGGAGAAGAGAAGGCTGCGGGCAGAGCTGAGTGCGGCCGGTCAGGGCTTCAAGGGGGCCCAGAGGAAAGGGGGGGACAAGCTTTTTAGTAGGGCCAGCTGGGACAGGACAAGGGGGGATGGTTTTAATCTAAACCAGGGTAGGGTTAGACTGGATCTAAGGAAGAAATTCTTTACAATGAGGGTGGGGAAACCCTGGCAGGGGGTGGAGGCCCCATCCCTGGGACCATTCCAGGCCAGGTTGGCCGGGGCTGTGAGCAACCTGATGTGGTTCAAGGTGTCCCTGCTCCTGCAGGGGGGTTGGGCTGGGTGACCTCGAGGGGTCCCTTCCAACCCAACCCATTCTGTGATTCTATGATTTGGACATTGTCCTCTTTGCAGCGATGGCAGGCAAAGCTCAGAGGGAAACCCTCCATACTGCGTATTGCTGAGCCCCCCTGGACACAAACGCCAAACGTTTCTAAGATTAAATGTTTGGCCTGATATAAATCACTTCAGATATTTCTGTAGGCACTTGGGGCTGCCGATGGAGCTCAGAGGTGTGCAACCTTGTGCCATGAAACACCGGCGAGGCCATGACCGGTGCTGGTGCTCCCAGGCCTGTCTGTCACCCCCTGGTTTGGGAGAAGGTGCTGCCCACCCACATGTGAACGGTGCAGGATCAGGCCCTCCCGCACGGGTGGCCATGGGACCAGGCTTGTCCCTGCTTACTGTGACCATGGGACATCAGGGGGACGTCGGACTAAGAGGTTTCCGTGGGAAAAGGTGGCTCAGCCCTGGCAAGGCGCCGTCTTGTTTCCCTATGGGCTGCCCGAGGAGCTTTGCATAGGCAAAACCTCTTCCTCCCACAGCATCCCAGGCTGCAAACTTGAAATTTCCTTGTAAAAGCAGTGTAGCTGCTGCTCTGGGCACCTCTGCGTCACCCAGGTGCCTGCCCCAGGGGGATGGGGGTGCTGGGGGAGCAGAAGCATGGTGCCTGACCCCATGGGGCCGTCAGAGTGGTTCCAAAGAATGTTTATCAATATGGTGATAGGCGCTTTATATATATAAATATATATGTATAAAATATATCTACGGAGAGCACGGAGAGAAGGAATGGGCCTGGGAAGGGGCCGTCGGAGTGGTTCCAAAGAATGTTTATCAATATGGTGATAGGTGCTTTATATATATAAATATATATGTATAAAATATATCTACGGAGAGCACGGAGAGAAGGAATGGGCCTGGGAAGGAGCCCTGGGAGACCTCCCCAAAACACCTGGGACCACGAGAGCAGCACCCTCATTACAGCTGGGTGCCCCCCTCGCCCGGATCTCCTCCACAGCGAGGTCAGGGACGTGTGCGTCCCTCGAAAGGCTGCTGGTGTGACTTAAACACCAGAGCTGGCCCCCGCCAGAACGTGGAGTGGCAGGGGAGAAGGGGACCTGCTTTGGGTGCAAATCTCCAGCCGCAGGGATGGGTCTTGGTGGTTTGGGTGCCTTTCCACCCCTCCCGGAGCCCACCTGCAAGGGGGGACGGCAGCGGTGGCTGCAGGGCAGCACCCAGGGGTGCGTGGCTGCCCTCGGCGGGGCTGGGCACTCTGAGAGCCTCCAGTCCATCCCCTTCTCCTTTTTCGGCTGTAGCTCGGGCTGGACATGGAAGAGCTGGAGGAAATTGAGGAGGACGCCGGGCTCGGCAACGGGGGGCTCGGC